TACAGTGTACTACAGTGTACTACAGTGTACTACAGTGTACTACAGTGTACTACAGTATACTACAGTGTACTACAGTGTACTACAGTACTACAGTATACTAAGTATACTACAGTGTACTACAGTAACTACAGTGTACTACAGTGTACTACAGTTAGTACTACAGTATACCCAGTGACTACAGTATACTACAGTGGTATACATTACTACGTGTTACTACAGTTCGGTACTACAGTGTACTACAGTGACTACGTATACTACAGTGTACTACAGTATTACTACAGTATACTACAGTATATACAGTGTACTAAGTATACTACAGTGTACTATATCTACATGTACTACATATACAGTGTACTCAGTAACAGTGTACTACAGTTCACAGTGTACATAACTGTGTACTACAGGTCCTACATGTACTACGTATACTACAGTGTACTACAGTTACTGCAGTATACTACAGTATACTACATGTACTACAGTAACTACAGTGTACTACAGTATACTACAGTGTACTACAGTATACAGTGTATCAGTGTCCTACAGTGTACTACGTATACTACAATGTACTACAGTGTACTACAGATACTACGGTATACAGTATACTACAGTGTACTACGTATACTACAGTGTACTACAGTTATACTACAGCTATGTACTACAGTATACTACAGTGTACTACATTACTCAGTATATACAGTGTACTACTGTAGTACTACAGTTACTACAGTGTACTACAGTTACTACAGTGTACTACAGTGATACTACAGTCTACTACAGTGTACTACAGTGTATACATATACTACAGTGATACTACAGTATACTACTGTGTACTACAGTGATACTACAGTGTACTACAGTGTTACTACAGTACACTACAGGTGTACTACAGTGTACTACAGTGTACTATCTAGTGTTACTACAGTGTACTACAGTATACTACAGTGTACTACAGTGTACTACAGTATACTACAGTTTACTACGTGTACTACAGTGTACTACAGTATACTACAGTATACACAGTGTACTACAGTGTACTACAGCTACTACAGTTGTACTACAGTGTACTACAGTATACTACAGTGTACTACAGTGTACTACAGTGTACTACAGTATACTACAGTGTACTACATGTATACTACAGTACTACGTATCTACAGTGTACTACAGTATACTACAGTGTACTACAGTGTACTACAGTGACTACATATACTTACAGTATACTACAGTGTACTACAGTGTACTACAGTATACTACAGTGTACTACAGTATACTACAGTGTACTACAGTGTACTACAGTGTACTACAGTATACTAAAGTATACTACAGTGTACTACAGTATACTACAGTGTACTATAGTGTACTACAGTATACTACAGTATACTACAGTATACTACAGTGTACTACAGTGTACTACAGTATACTACAGTATACCACAGTGTACTACAGTATACAACAGTGTACTACAGTATACTACAGTGTTAAGTGTACTACAGTATATACAGTGTACTACAGTGTCTACAGTGTACTACAGTACTACGTTACTACATGTGTACTACAGTGTACTACAGTATACTACAGTGTATCTACAGTGTACTACAGTATACTACAGTGTACTACAGTATTACATTACTACAGTGTATACAGTATACTACAGTGTACTACAGTATACAGTGTACTACAGTGTCCAACAGTGTACTACAGTATACAGTGTAATACAGTGTCCTACAGTGTACTACCGTATACTACAGTGTACTACAGTATACTACAGTGTACTACAGTATACTACAGTGTACTACAGTATACTACAGTGTACTACAGTATACAGTGTACTACAGTGTACTACAGTATACACGTTACTACAGTATACTACAGGACTACAGTGTACTACTACCGTATAACTACAGTGTACTACAGTGTACTACAGTATACTACAGTGTACTACAGTGTACTACAGTATACTCAGTGTACTACAGTGTACTACAGTGTATTACAGTGTACTACAGTTATATACTACAGTGTACTACAGTATACAGTGTACTACAGTGTACTACAGTATACAGTGTACTACAGTGTCCTACAGTGTACTACCGTATACTACAGTGTACTACAGTGTACTACAGTATACTACAGTATACTACAGTGTACTACAGTATACTACAGTGTACTACAGTACTACAGTTACTACAGTATACTACAGTATACTACAGTGTACTACAGTATACTACAGTGTACTACAGTGATACTACAGTATACTACAGTATACTACAGTGTTCGTTACTACAGTATACTACAGTGTACTACAGTGTACTACAGTGTACTACAGTATACTACAGTGTACTACAGTATACTACAGTGTACTACAGTGTACTACTAGTGCACTACAGTAGTGACTACAGGTATCATGGACAGTTACTACAGTGTACTTACGTTGTACTACAGTATACTTCCCAGTGTACTACTGTATCTCCTACATTGTTATACTGTGTCACTTGTGACTACCCAGATATACAGTGTTCTCTACATGTTGTACTAGTGTATACTACATGTGTGAATTCTGTATACCTACTGTCTTCAACTTTTCTGTTGTTCTACATGTTCAGAATCCCTCCTGTTTTCAGGTTACTTATTCTAGCTGTCTCGTGTCTACTGATACTATTGCCCATTAATAATTTCTTGACCATGTGTTATTACGTGTTCTACTGTTAACTAAGTCTATACCAAGTCTCACATATTATGTATTTGTTTATAACTACAGTGTGAACTGTATTACGTCCGGACACAGTATATACGGATATATCTGGAAGTTCACTCAGTCCTCTTAGTGGTTGCAATTATACATTGGCAGTTCTAGCATGATTGTCCCCATTTAACAACATATGACTATCGTACTACTTGCTATTATCAGATAACTACTTGAACTACAGTGTACTAACACTATACTTGTTTGACTACCTGTAACTCGAGTGTACTACATGATGTTACTACGTATACTACGATGTGATACTACAGTGTTACTAGCCGACTCAGTTCCTACAGTTTAGTTTACTCCCCGTTTCTACGTATACCCCGACATCTCCATGTCTACTGTGTAGTACAGCCTTGTAAATACAGGTCTACATATATTCAGGTTACTACAGTGTACTACAGTTTCTACAGTTTACTTACTAAATATAATACAGTACTACAGTCTTGTGTACCAGTGTTACAGTATACTCATTATACACAGACATTACTACAGGTAACCATGTACTACAGTATAAATACGTGTACTACGTGTTTTTCAGTTACTACAGTGTAAACTACGTGTAACAGTTTACTACGTGTACTACAGTTCTACAGTGTACTCAGTGTACTACCAGTTTCTACGTGTACTACAGTTGTACTACCAGTATATCGTGGGCTACAGTGTATACAGTTACTCCAGGTATACAGGTCTACCGGGGTTCTCGTTTTTCTTTTTCTGTTAAACTACAGGTACTACAGTGTATACATTATACGGTACTTCGTTACTAAAATTTTCTCAGTGTATTTACAGTGTACACGTATTTACGTGTACTACGTTTTACTACAGTATACTACGTTACTCGGGTATACGTATACTCGTGTCACAGGTTTAAAATTTACAGTGTACTACGTGTTTAATTTTTACGTATATAAGTGTACTACAGTTCTACAGTTACTACGGTTACAGTATACTCAGTTTACTACGGTATCAGTATACTTTTTAAAAGTTTAAATACAGTTTCTACAGTGACTACGTATATCAGTTTTGTACTACGTATAATCAGTTTTACTACAGTGTTTCTTTTTTCCCTTTTAGTGTTTTCCAACAAAAATAGGAAAAAAAAGATAGAGTGGGGGCTCCCCCCCCCCTGGTGTTATGGCGGTTTTTTGCATCGGCTTTTATTGTCATTTCATATGAACTTTCCCCCGCCATCATCATTACTGTATCTTCTTCCTCATTTGTTATTGTGTCAAACTTGGTGACTACCGCAAGCAGTCCAGTCCATTGGTTCCTCACATGTCTGTGTCTAATGTTGGTTTTATTTTGCTACATCTGTGGTGAATCTGCTGTCCTCACCAATGGTCTTTCAAACTTTTCCTGTTGATTTCTGCATTTCAGAATCCCTCCTCTTTTTTTCAGGGAAAATTACCTTTTCTGGCTGTCTTCCTGTGCTGTCTTAAGACTGAACATGATTGCCCCATTAATAAGATTCTGCTTGACCCCTATGGGTTTAGCGCTTTTCCCTGATTAAAAGAAATCCTATACCACATTCTCACCATAATTATTGTGATTTTTTAATAACAACTGCGCTAGATGTGAGTACCAGTAGTTATTACGTACCGGTACACAACGATATTGGATTATCTGGAAAGTCACACAGGTCCTTCTTTGTGGGGGTTGCTAATTTATATTGGCAGTTTAGCATCTGATTGTCCCCACTTATCAGACAACACTTGCACTTATCAGACAACACTTGCACTTATCAGACAACACTTGCACTTATCAGACAACACTTGCACTTTGTTTTGACCACTCTGTCAACTCGATGATGTACTACATTTAATGTTCACCTCACTGAAACTCCCACTGATGTAGATTCCCAGCCTAATTAACTAGCCCTTGATGCCTCTAGCATTCCTCACAGTTTTTTCTACCTCTCCCTCTTGCTACCCTCTACCCCAGCACCCTTCCCTGCTCTGCTGCGCTGTATGACCCTTGTAGGTTAAGCGTCCTATCTCTAGATTCTGGTCACAGGTGTGTCAGTCCGCCGTTATATGCTTATTCATGAAATTGAAGCCAACATTCCCTTGCTCGGAACGAACCTGATTGCCTTACATTCCCCAGGTGCTGTGTGACCCATACGGGTTTTACAGTTCCCCTTGAAAAGACAGTAGTATGAACCTTACTTGTGTAACACTGACCTCACGAATGTAATAATAATAATAATAATAATAATAATAATAATAATAATAATAATAATAATAATACAAGTTACCTTCATATGGTAGGCATAGAGGAAGGGGTTGATGGCAGAGTTGAGGTGGCTGAGGATGATGGTGAAGAACATGAGGTTAGGTTCCACCTGGCAGTCGGTGCAGAAGGCCTGCACACAGTTGATGGTGTACAGTGGGAACCAACTCACCATGAAGAAGAGCACGATGATGCTCAAGCTCTTGGCTGCCTTCACTTCCCGACTCCTGGGGTTGGGCACCTGTGTGGGGTAGAGGCAGATGTAAGCCACGTTTGTGGGGCAATATGTGAAACAAAGGACAGAACTAGGTCAGGTGTGTGGGTTACAGGCAGCTGTGAGTTACAGGTAGCAGTGGATTACATGGTATGGGTTACAGGCAGCAGTGGGTTACATTGTATAGGTTACAGGTAGCAGTGGGTTACATGGTATGGGTTACAGGCAGCTTGTGGGTCACATAGTATGGGTTATAGGCAGCAGTAAGCCACGTGCACTCACCTAATTGAGGTTGTAGGTGTCGATCTTCAGCTCCTGACCCAGCCTCTCTGCAAACCGCTGCTGGGTTCATTCTCTCCTGGCTACGTGAGTCCTATCATACCTATTCTTAAAGCTGTGTGCGGATTCTGCCTCTACTACTTAGCTGTTTAGGTCATTCCATCTCCTAACCACTCTAAGGCTAAAGAAGTATTTCCTAACATTGCTGTGAATCATCTGTGTTGTTAACTTCAGCTGTGACCTCTTGTACCCAAGACCCGTCTCTTACACACACTCCCTCTCTACTCTCTCACTTCCTCTCAGTATTTTGTACGTTGTAAACCATGTCGCCTCTCGTCTTTCTGTCCTCTACTGTCGTCAGATTTAGCTCTTATAACCACACTTGTGGGTTAGAGGGACCTCTGGGTCACGTGTGTTGGTTACATGGAGATGTGGGTCACGTGGGGATCAGAGGGAGCTGTGTGTCATATGTGCGGATTAGGAGATATGGGTCACTTGTGGGTTACAGGGAATTGTGGGTCACATGTGTGGGCTAGAGGGAGCTATGGGTCACATATGTGGGTTTACCTGGAGAAAATTTCAGGGGTCAACGCCCCCGCGGCTCGGTCTGAGACCAGACCTCGTGGTGGATCAAGGTCTGATCAACCAGGCTGTTACTGCTGACCGCTCGCAAACTGACGTACGAGCCACAGCCTGGTTGGTCAGGTACTGACTTTAGGTGCTTGTCCAGTGCCTTCTTGAAGACAGCCAGGGGTCTATTGGTAATCCCCGTCATGTATACTGGAAGACAGTTGAACAGTCTTGGGCCCCGGACACTTACTGTGTGTCTTTCAGTGTACTCGCGGCGCCCCCGCTTTTTACTGGGGGATGTTGCATCTCCTGCCGAGTCTTTTGCTTTCATAGGTTGTAATTTTCGTGTGCAAGTTTGGTACTAATCTCTCTAGGATTTTCCAGGTGTATATTATCGTGTATCTCTCTCGCCTGCGCTCCAGGGCCCCTCAAGGAAGGTTCCTTGATGTTGGTGAGGAGCTCTTGATTTAGGGAATTGGATCTGTGCTCCAGTTCCCCGAATTAAGCCTGAATGCCTTCCACATCCCCCCCCCCCAGGCGCTGTATAATCCTCCGGGTTTAGCGCTTCCCCCTTGATTATAATAATAATAATGCGCTCCAGGGAATACAGATCAAGAGCCTTCAACCGTTCCCAGTACTTATGTGTGCCGTGAAAGTTCTTTGTACACTTTCCAGGTCAGTAACTTTCCCTGTCTTGAAGGGGGCCGTTAGTGTACAGCAGTATTCCAGCCTAGAGAGAACAAGCGATTTGAAGAGACTCATCACGGGCTTGGCATCCCTAGTTTTGAAGGTTCTCATTATCCATCCTGTCATTTTCCTAGCAGATGAGGTAGATACATTGTTGTGGTCTTTGAAGGCGAGATCCTCTGACATTATCACTCCCAGGTCCTTCACATTACTTTTCCGCTCTATTGTATGGTTAGAATTTGCCGTATACCCTGATACAGTTTTAATTTCCTCAAGTTTTCCATATCTGAGTAGTTGAAATTTCTCCTCGTTGAACTTCATATTGTTTTGAGTGGCCCATTTGAAGATTTGGTTGATGTCCGCTTGGAGTCTCGCGGTGTCTTCGATGGAGGTCACTGTCATGGTGATCCTGGTGTCATCCACAAAGGAAGACACGGAGCTATGGCTTACATCTCTGTCTATGTCAGAAATGATAATGAGGAATAGAATGGGAGCGAGTACTGTGCCTTGTGGAACAGAGTTTTTTACCGTGGCTGCCTCAGACTTTACTCTGTTTACTATTACTCTTTGTGTTCTATTTGTCAGGAAGTTGCAGATCCATCTACCAACTTTTCCTGTTATTCCTTCATCACACATTTTGTGCGCTATTACACCATGGTCACACTTGTCGAAAGCTTTTGCAAAGTTTATGTATACTATATCTGTATTTTGTTTATCCTTTACAGCATCCAGAACCTTGTCATAGTGAGCCAGTAACTGGGACAGGCAGGAGCGACCTGCTCTAAAACCGTGTTGCTCTGGGCTGTGTAACTGATTGATATCTAGGTGGTTGGTGATCTTGCTGCTTAGAACCCTTTCAAAGATTTTTATGATATGGGATGTTAGTGCTATCTGTCTGTAGTTCTTTGTAGTCGCTTTACTGCCACGTTTGTAGAGCGGGACTATGTTGTTTTTAGTGAGTGTGGGATGACCCTTGTGTTCATACTCCCTCTCCATAGAATGCTGAAGGCATGCGACAAAGGCTTCTTGCAGTTCTTGATGAACACGGAGTTCCATGAGTCTGGGCCTGGGGCAGAGTGCATGGGCATGTCATTTATTGCCTTTTCAAAGTCTTGTGGTGTTAGGATAATATCCGAGATTTTTCAGATAACCAAATTTTGGGTCTCGTTCATAAAAAAATCATTTGGATTGTCGACCCTTAGTCTGGGCGGCTCGCTGAACACTGAGTCGTATTGGGACTTTAGTATCTCAACATGACTCACGAAATCGTAATGACACGATTGCAAACAAACCATACCACGGGCGGGAATAGAACCCGCGATCAGAGAGTCTCAAAACTCTGGACCGTCGCGTTAGCCATAGTCTGGAGTTTTGAGACTCTGATCGCGGGTTCTATTTCCTCCCGTGGTATGTTTTGTTTAGTATCTCATTTCTTGGCTGTCATCTGTGTATGTCCCATCCCGCCAAAGCAGGTGCCCAATATTGGAGGTTTTTTCCTTAGATTTGGCATAAAAGAAGTATTTTTTTTTTCAATTTCCTTTATGGCTTTTAGTTCTTCCTGTGATTCTTGTCTCCTATAAGATTCCTTCAGCTTAAGTTCGATATTTGCAATTTCATTGACCAGTGCTTCCCTTCGTATTTCAATTATATTGACCCCACTCAGCAGCTCTGTGACTCTTCCCTTCCTCTGTATAGGAAGCATTTTTCTCTTTCTAGTTTACATCTTCTCTTTCTTTTTCTTAATGGAATGTGCCTTGAGCAGATCTCAAGAACCACAGAGTTTATTTTTTCTAGGCAAATGTTCGGATCTGTGTTGTTTAGGATATCTTCCCAGCTTGTTTCATTTAGGACATGGTTGAATTGATCCCAGTGTATGAATTTGTTATTGAAATTTAATTTTGTGAAGACACCCTCATGATTGATCACATTCTGCTGGTCCGGAGCCTTGTGTATACATGTCTGTACCTCTATTATGTTGTGATCTGTGACGTACAGGCCATCCTACCTCCCCTTGTTACCTGTTTAGTCTGTCGCATCTGAATAGGTTATAACCTGGGATCTATATTTCGTTGTCAAAATGATCCTTTATGTGGGTCTCTCTGAATGCTGCAAACATTGCATTTGACTCCGTGAGTAGCTCCTTGATGCAAGGGATTTTGTTGTTTGTTGACGGCTTTAGACTCTGTATGTTTGCAAAGACGAATGTCGTTATATTGGTGAAATTTAGAGAGAGTTTTATTTGCTGGCTCTAATATCTGTTGTTCTGGAGTAGAGGCCAATGACTGTGCCTCTGCTCCAGTTAGAGGAAGCTGTGGGTCACGTGTGTAGGTTAGAGGGAGCTGTGGGTCACGTGTGTAGGCTAGAGGGAGCTGTGGGTCACGTGTGTAGGTTAGAGGGAGCTGTGGGTCACCTGTGTAGGTTAGAGGGAGGTGTTGGTCACCTGTGTAGGCTAGAGAGAGCTGTGGGTCACGTGTTTAGGTTAGAGGGAACTGTGGGTCACGTGTGTAGGTTAGAGGGAGGTGTGGGTCACCTGTGTAAGTTAGAGGGAGCTGTGGGTCACGTGTGTAGGCTAGAGGGAGCTGTGGGTCACGTGTGTAGGTTAGAGGGAGCTGTGGGTCACGTGTGTAGGTTAGAGGGAGGTGTGGGTCACCTGTGTAGGTTAGAGGGAGGTGTGGGTCACCTGTGTAGGTTAGAGGGAGGTGTGGGTCACCTGTGTAGGTTAGAGGGAGGTGTGGGTCACATGTGTAGGTTAGAGGGAGGTGTGGGTCACATGTGTAGGTTAGAGGGAGGTGTGGGTCACCTGTGTAGGTTAGAGGGAGGTGTGGGTGAAGTGTGGGTCACAAGACTGGACAACCCGTCCAAGACTGGTCCTGGCGGAGGCCGGTGAGACGGGGGTGACTGATTCAAAGAATTATACGTTGTCCCCTTCCCTTCCCTTCCCTTCCTCAGATCAAACTTATTCACTCTGATCCTCCTCCCCATTTCGATGCATAACCCCTGCGAGTTTAGCACTCCCACAAATTGTAATATATGGATGCCTGAAGAAGGCGAGTTAATGTTAATGAAGGTGTGTCGAGCCATATTATTGTCCGAGATAATACTACTACTACTACTACTACTACTACTACTAATAATAATAATAATAATAATAATAATAATAATAATAATAATAATAACCCCCCACAGTAAAAAGTAACCGCAGTAGTTGAAGCATCAGTAGTAGAAACAGTAGTAGTAGCAGTGGAAGCAGAACAGTAGTGGTGGTAGCATCATTGCTTACTTACAGTTGCTATTTTATTTCCAGCGTTATAATTGCACTCGCCAGAATATATGAAATTCTGAAGATAAGAGGAAGAGTCTTCAAGTGGTGATGCCGCCAGTGGCTGGCGGCATCAGGACGCCGTCAGCCACTGGCACCTCGGGACTGTCAATTTCTCCTGCAGTGCGAAAAAGAAGGGAGCAGAATCCTCATTTTGTGTGACTGAATGCCA